AATATTGTCCATTGCATCCTTTTCTTTTACTGACCAAGAGACTGAATACTTTGATTTATAACATGCGCTTGATCCGCAATAAAACTTAAAGGGAAATAAGACGTGCGGCATTTACAAAGCTTTGTTTTGTTTTTGTTTTATTTTATTTTTTAAATTAGTTTTAAAAAAATCAAAAATTTAAAGCATTTTTAAATAAAAACGTATTTATTGAATTTTATAATCATCTTTTCCCGTTCGACCCCCAAGACACATTGGGGCAAATGAGGTAGAGTTCAACTGTTTCAATGCCCTCGGCATATGAAGGGATGGTGTGGTCAGCACTACACGTAGCCAGTGTTATTTCCCTAACGTGAGTTAGGTACCCATCAGAGCTGGGTAGACTCAGTGCCTGATATAGTCACAAGTACAAATGACGATGTCAAAACGAAACCATCAGTTTTTCGACACTTTGAGAAATCTCGTTTTTTTTCGAGTTGACCAAAACTCTCAACTACCGCGTGAGATCACATTTTGTTCACGTCTGCTTGAAACTAGAGCGTGAACGACCTGCTACACCTTTGGCTTCTGCCAAAAATACAATCAATATTTAAATGACGTCTTTAGAGGGGAGGGTGGGGGGTTCGTTTTTGTTGACGTCATTAAGGTTATGGTTCTGGCAGCTAGGTGTTTGTGAAATGCCAGCTTTGTTATAAGTTATATACAGCCTATATAAGCCTATATACAGTATATTTTTTTAATATATAGAGTACGTGCTAACCCGCGGCGTATCATACGCCGCTATTTAGTTGTTTTATTTTCTACTTTTCAGTAATTCATAATTTGTGAATTCGACACTACCAATGCTGCGACTGATTAGTTACCTCCCCGTAGTTTAAAATCGTTTAAAAATTAAATTATGTGCCCCTTAATAGCCATCACCAATTCAACCCGGCTCTACGATTGTAAACATCGGCATGAACTACAGCTCATCAGACTAGAGAGCGTGGGAGGGGCGGGAGAAGGGTTAAGATAGATGCTATATTGTCTTTAAAATTTAGTAAAGGTGGGCCGTGTTGTATGTATTTTATGGAATACACTTCAACTGTCCGAAATGGTCCGTTTTAAGAAACAATCACACTACTCTTTTAAGCAAAATGCTAATTAATTCTGCAGTATTATTGAGTAAGTAAAGACAAAAAAAATAGCTTATTAATAGCACAGATACATGTAGTTCAATTTAAAGTTATTTCTTTTTAAAAAATATTATATACAGCTAATTTTTGAATAAACATTTGTATTTTTATCTTGTTGTCCATCACGGTAAAGACTTGTAAAAAATAAATAAACATCGGGTGTAATTAGGCCTACTTTTCGTTAAACTAATTAAAACCAGATGTAATTAATTCCGCTTAAGAGTTTATTGCCAGAGTTCATTGACTTTTTAGACTTCAAATTTAAATTAATTAGAGCTGCATTTGATTAGTATTTCCTCTGACAACACTTCATTGCTTTTTCTAAAGTTTTGAAGAACACACAGAGTCGGGACGTTTAATAGGGGAGGCAACCGAAATAAATCATAATTTGTAGAGTTGGGTTATCGGTAATGTTAATAAAAACTTTCGGAGTTATACATTGTTCCAATATTTCAAAATTGCTGATTAATTATGCAAATCATTGGTAGTTACGACGAGTTAATTATTTCTCTAAATATTTTTCAAACGTTATTTCCACAACAATCCCCCCCCCCCACCCACCAGCACACGTTGACCTTCAGTATGCTATTATATAACCACAATCTTAGGCTACCGTATGCGTGGTGTTTCTTCCAGTCTTTTTTCTCCGGATGGGGAGGAGGGCATTGGACACTGGTAAAAGTATATATTTTCTATATAAATTCTATTTCGTGCGGGGAGAAGCCTGGGAAAAAAAAACTAAGTATGCGGTTGCACCTACACACGCTTTTACCTAGAACAATCGATCACAGCAAGATCTCATACACGGTTTGTACCCATCTTGTACACAGTTTGTACACAGTTTGTATACAGTTTGTACACAGTTTGTCCACAGCTTGTACAGATATTGTACACCATTACACATCCTTGAAAACAATGCCAGCTTATATTTTAATACATATTTATTTAAAGGATAATATATCAAAACGAGCGTCAAAGATAAAATAAAAAAACAATACTTCAGGCAACATTTTAATGAACAATTTACAATGTACTTTAGAAATATAAATTTGGAGGCACTTTTTATTTTCAACCACAGGCACAATATAGGCGTATACAAAAATATGGGGTACTTTATAAATAGGCTTTATTTTTTGCTTAACCATAGTGCATAGACAAAACTATTCGTTGTTATTTTTTCTCACGATTTTCTTTGAACATAAAACAAATAGGAACTCTTAGTACAATAAAACAAGGTACATCTCATCTATTTACACAAAAACATAAAAAATATTAAATACTTATGGTAAAATTGAGTATATTCAATTTTTATGTGAAATCTGGAAAAAGATCAGTTTGCTTTAATAATACTTTAGTAATACTTTAATGTTCACCAGACATTATCTTAGTATAATATTCTTCTTACATCTTGGCAATGCCGGTGCTTTATACGAAGATTCTGACATTGTAAACTACATGTGCATACATATCCTGGAAGATGCTCTGTAGTTGTAGCCATTTTTGAGATCAGGACTTTACATTTAATAGCAAGGAAAAAAGAAAATCAAATTATAAATAGATCTATATAGCAACTGTACACACTTTTATGTTGATCGATTAGAAGCTTCAGATTCTGAATAGTTTTGTATCCATGAAACACAATTTATTTGGCTGTAATGGCACACGCAGGATTTCCATATACATATATATATATATATATATATATATATATATATATATATATATATATATATATATATATATATATATATATATATATATATACGTATATAGTCGTTGCTGATAGCTGTAGCTTATTTAAAGACAGTACTTTGGGGATAGGTGTGGTTTATTTGAGTATGTTTGTGTATGTGTGTTTGTGTATGGGGGAGGGGGGATTTCTAACACCTCTATTCCCGCTGTCTACGCAACTATTAGGATTAAAAACATTAAAACATTGATATTCCTTCTAGATAACAGATTTTCATTCAGATGCGATGTCCAGCGTACTGGTTTCATTGATAAAAACTATTGGCTTAAAGTCAGGAATTATTCTATTTGTCGAATGAATAATGAGTAAAACGTAAAACAAGAAAACAGATAGTGTTCAACAATAAGATTACACAATATACATATATAAAGTTCTTTGACAAATTATGTTGGACAAAATACTCTCATGCACACAATATCTCAGTATAAAATGTATAACTTCTCTGACAATTTATCCCAGACAAAATATCAAGAACAAAAGTTATTACGGATAAGTTATAACAGACAAAATATCTCAGACAAAATATCTCAGACAAAATATCTTAAGTACAAAATATCTTAGTATAAAATATAGAACTTTCATAGCAAATCATTTCACATACAAATGATGTTAGACAAAATATCATAGACAAAATATCAATAACAAAAGATATCATGGACTAATTATTACAGACAAAATATCAATTCAATTTTGTCATAATACATTAAATCATTTTTCTTTCAAAATTGATGTATGTTTTTAACTGTCATCAATAATTATATGTTTCCTAAAGTTTCAATACAAATTTACATTTAAAAAAAATTATTTTAAAATTTAAAAAATGTAATTAAATTGAATGAGGTCATTCTATGTTAATTCAGTTTTAAATAAATAATACAAATCAGCAAGCCACAAATAAAAATCAAATTAAAATGTTAAAACACTATTTTAAGGTATTTAGCCTCAAGTGAATTTGCATAAGTTTATTTTGTAGCAGGTATTTACTAACCCATGATAACTTTTGTCTTGATATATTATGTCGTAAAATTCTTTGTTCTGAGATATTTACACCTTCAGATAATTTGTCTGAGATATTTTGTCTAAAATACTTTACCCTGTCCATTTGTTCTATCTCAGCCATAACGTATTGAGCATCTTCGTAACAGACAGATACAATGGAAGAACTTTTTAAATAGTTGATATTGGGCGTAAATGTAAGTTATTGTAGTCAAACAATTAACATCGAAGTTCTTGTGCCCACATTTATCGTGCCCTGATATAGGCTCTCCTGACCTTCCATCTACTTTATTACTGTACAACTAACTATAAAGTGACTGCGATATTGGTGGACATTCTCAGCTAAAATATACGTTTGGAAAGAAACTTTTTAAAAGCAATGAAAAATTGAGTGATCGATACATTTAAATTACCCTCTTTTTTCTGCTAAATTTAAATTATGTTTTAAACAAAACAAAAATAAAGATGGATTCTTTTGTCTTCTTGTAAATTTTTTTTTAATATTAATTTACAAATATTGACTAGCTCTTTTTTAAAGAAATTTATCTGGCTACATTTTAACAGTATTAACGATCGATATGTAAACACAAAAAAAAAACAGCTGGAGATGATCACGTGACGATAACAGGACAAGTTCGCTTTTCTAGTTTACGTCTACTTTAAACTCACTATGATTATATTTACATTTTAAATTTTCATTTGTTTATTTCTTTACAAACTAACGTTGCACTCTCTACTCTTTGAAACCCCTAAGGAAAGAATCACTAGCCGGGCATCTCACACTAAACATGTAAGCTCAAAACATAACTCTACTCCGTGTTGCAGTGAGCTGATAGGGTTGTCTCCCATTTTAATCACAGGTAACAGGAAAATCAAATAACAGTACAACTACATTTAGAACAAGAAATCTAAAGTCTATAGGCCCTATAGATCATATATATATATATATATATATATATATATATATATATATATATATATATATATATATATATATATATATATATATATATATATATATATGTACATATATGTATATATGTATATATATATATTTATATTTATATATATATATACATACTCGTAAACATTATTATTTCTGTGACTAAGCCTTGAGGCAGCATTCAAAAAACTTCATTCCTTATCTCGCTTCCGCAGCATCAAGTTTCGTATTACCTGAGGCACAGTGTAGTTAAATATAAGAAAATCTGCTTGGTACTTTTTAAACAACTGCACAATCGAATGCCGGGACACGTTCCCGTAGAATTCTTCCATGAAAGAGTTCGTTAATTCCGTGGCGTACTTGAGTTCCGATCTGGAAGGCAACTTTATCCACTCCGATAGCGACATTTTATCCAAGACGAATTGGGAATCTCTTTCGATAGTTTCAAGTTTTCCGATAAAATCGTAGTTTATAAGACAGGGATTACAAAGTATATGAAACCTTTCCCAATGTTCGTTTGTTTTTATAACGGATTTATAATCCGTAAGATATGCGATGAATTCTTCGAACAAAAGCCCCTCGCCGTTATGATTCAACGACGCGTCAGGTCGATAAGTGTTTATAATTTTTCGACCGAACGCTCGTTTAAAATACGTCGACGAGTTGGTGTTTGTGAGGAACTTGTTCCTGAAAGCGGACAAAATTCGTTCAAACGGTTCCCGGACGAAGAGGAACTTGAAGTAGGTGTTGATGCGCCGTACGATGCCCTCCCGGGGGAAGTCGCTCAAGTAGGTCAAGTTCTTGGCGTACTTGTGATGGACGTCGTTGGCCGAGATGGAGGCGAGGTCCTTTGTCTTGATGTTGCCGGAGAGGAGGATGAAGATGCGGCGCCACGTCGTGGAGGCCACTTTAGGGATAGCGCAGTACAGGAGCTGGAATGTAAAGAAAAAATGTGTGAAATTTAGTAGATCTATGTGGAACAGTACTCAAGTTATAGGCTCTTGAAAAACCAAAAGTATATTAAGTTCCACTTCCGATTACCGGAAATTGCTGAAAAGTTGATAACTACAAATAAGTTATTATAAGTGTATATGAAATTTCATCGACCTAGCTGTAAAGGTACTCAAGTTGTCGTGTTCACAGACATATGCACACACAGACATATGGAGAAAATTATGTTTTTCCGACTCAGGGAGGTGTAAAACGACGATTACAATACTTCCCCTATACTTCGTATACGAGAAAGTAAGTAGTCGTAAAACACCCAAACTGGTGTACATTCAGCTGTAGCATTACATAAGCCATACGTTTACAGGCCTTCACATTCAAATGACACCGGGTATTGAAAGTATTTTGCTATATAACATGTCATTTTTTTAAACATATACATTTATTGGCAACCGCTAAAAAATCCGGATTTAAAATATCGATCTTTATGTTTTTTTTTTATTAATTAAAACAATACACTATCTCTCATATGCCGAGATAATTAAAACATGAAATTCATCTACTTCATATGCCCCGAGTGTCTAGAACACGAACAGGCACGGAAAAAAATGACGAATTAAAGCAATACTTGAGACAACCGTTTTCTAACGATGTACCAATAGCGTTCACATTCATTAAAATTATTCAGAAATAGAGATATAACAGTGCGGTTTAGTACTATGAATGAGAATTCCAATATAGAAGTTAGAGGATAGAATCAAAAAGTAATTTTAAAAAATAATCAAGCAAAATGTAGTGCTCAGGTTGTCTGATGTCAACTTATTTTGAGTTGTACCAAAGATATCCACTCTGTTATTTCTTAAAACCCCTCTTCCGCCCCCCCCCCTTGCCACCCCCCCCCCCCCACCCAGCACGAGCATTTTCTGTTAGCTATTCCATTTACGTATTTTTAAAATTCTTAATATTTCCATTCAATGTGTTTGTACTATTACGCCGCTCTTCATAACAAAAATGCATAGTAAAGTCATAAACGCCCACTACTCACTCCAAAAAAACATAGATATGACAAAAATTCACTTTTTTTTCACAGTTTTAATCCTTTTAAAATTATATATTAATTTTCTTACACCCCCCCCCCCCATTCACACATCGTCACAAAAATATTCCTCTTGTTTGAACAAACTTCTAGTTCAAAAATGCGTTTAAAAAGGCTGCTAATTCGCGTACGTATCCCCTAGCTAACTAAACTCGCAAACTCAAAGAGAAAAAGTCGACGTAAAAAATATCTAATCCTGTGTAGTTCTGCTACAAAAAAAAAAAGCGACGCGTGTACCATAATATAATTAGCCATCAGCCTAGAAATGCTGATTCTATGCACGCTAGCTCGACCGAAAATTGGCGGCCAACTTTACACGAGCGTGCGTGCATGCTTACAGCACACATGAGTGAGAAATGAAGTGTACTCGCCTACACTGTCAAGCTGAAGTATGTTTCAAGTACAGGCTGACCCAGACGTAGGTACTCCCTGAGTTGAATGGAAAAAGGTGATTTACACGCTTTGTAAAGATAAATGCTGGACGTGAGTGGGTGGCAGAGACCTGTTGCTCTATACCTGTGTAACATGTATGAGGTGAGGGGAGGGTGTTGATAGGTGAAGGTGGGGAATAGACCGTTCGTTGAACCGTGAACTAGAGGGCGAGAAAGAGAAACTATAGGGCGGGGAATGTGGATTAGTGACTTTTCGTTAAAACGTGAATTAAAAGAAGAGATAGAGGAAAAGAGGGTGGGGGTGGGGGGAAGGGGGTGGGGGTGGGGGGAGAAAACGTGTGATTATAGGGTAGGAGGGTTATCTTTAGAGTTTCTTTCAGGCATTTCTTCGGGGTGTCTTTGAATTGAACCCAATGCATAAGCCCGACTTTATATCCATTTATTAAATACAAAAAGTAAGAAAATGAAACCGTTTTTTTTCTTTATTTATAGTAGAGAGTTGGTCGTTAAATAGTGTAAGATATTTTATGATTGGCCAATGTATATAATAAACATAGGAAGCTTTTAACTAGATCTATATTTTAAAATTTTAATGCATTCAAAAGCTAATTAGTAGGAAGGTTTTTACACTTGTTTTAGGTATTAACTTTTCGAAGAAAACACACAGAATAAAAAAATTCAACCGGGAAAACTATTTTTTTTCCAAGTTAGAAACCATAAATTTTTTCATATGAATCTTGTTTGAGGTCCACAAAGCAGGGGCGGAGAAGGAAGGGGGGGGGGGGGGGCTACAGCAATAACTTCTTGTAAAATTGTTTCCACTTCCTCCACCTAAAAAAAAAAATCTCTGCTGGAGTTGTTTTTTTTTTCGGCGGAAGTCTACATGATTTCCTCTCAACTCTGGGCATATTTTTATTTTGTTTATTATTTTTTCATGAACCCCAGCCAAGTCTCAACTTTTAAATTGGCAGTAGCCCAACATCTGTTAACACGGAGTCAAAAGTCAACTTATATATAAAGCAAAAAATAAAATGCTGTCATAGCAGTCTAATGCAAAATAATTCTCCTTTCTCTACATGACTAAGGTAACAGAAAATAATGCCGCAAAATCATTTTGGTATGAAGGAGTTCAATTGAAAGACTGTATACTCTTTTTTTTTTGTTAACTATGCAATACTTGTCCACTTCAGCATCTTGCAGTATATGTCAGAGGCGTAGCAACCCTTCCCGGCGCCCGGGGACAAACTTTCGATTTGCAACCCCCCCCCCCCCTCAGGATTTTGATTTGCACCCCCCTCTCAAGTTTTCAATTTATTTTTCCAACCCATTTTGGCGCCCCCTAAAGGTCGGCGCCCGGGGACATGTATCCCCCCGCCCCCCCCCCCCCCCCCACCCTCGCTACGCCTCTGGTATTTGTTATAGTAAGCAGTCTTCATACATTGTATAGTCACATATTTTAGACTTTAATACTTGATTCAACAAATAAACAAGTTAAAAATTCTAATCTTATTTCTACAGCATTAATTGTGTGCTATAAACATCTCTTGATTTCAAACAAGTTACTCATAATCTTAATTATAAACTTAATTAACTCAGGAACCCCACGTCGATAAATTATCTTGTACAAAAAAATTTGACATTTATTAAGATATATAGCCGGAGGCTTGAAGGATTTCCTGCAGTATGGCGGATTGCTGACTTCGGTTGCCGTTTGTTAAATGTGACTTTCTTCACGATCCAAGTGTTCAAGAAAACAAATTGAAATTGTTTCCTTTCCCCCCCCCCCCTTAAATAAACAAACCCAAGCAGAGAGAGCAGGTTCTTAATTTGTTGCCTTAGTAACCCATTTAAAGACAGCATGTTCCTGAAGAAGAGCATACACATGTCTAACCTGAACTATTTTCAAACATCGAATGTTTTCTGGTCTAGAATATGTAGAATGTTCCAGAGCAGAACTTGAGAAAGTTAAACGCGGCTGTTGTGCATAATTCTGTCATACTGACACGAAAAAGTATCACACGACGAATATTATGTTTTGTCCATGAGACATTTTTGTCCACATATATTTTCTCAAAGTAGGGTCTATATTTATTCCTGAGATATTTTATCAAAGAATATTTTGTCCGGATATATTTTGTCCTAGTATGTTTAGTCCTGAGATATTTTGTCATAGGATATTTTGTCTGTGAGATATTTCTAGTATGAGATATTTACGGTTAATCAGAGATATTTTGCTCATATAAATTTTGTCCATGGGATATTTCCTCAGTGAGATGATTGTCTTTGAACTATGGTGTCTGAGATATTTTGTCCTGAGATATTTTGTCCTGAGATATTTTGGCCTGAAATATTTTGTCCATGGGATATTTCCTCAGTGAGATGATTGTCTTTGAACTATGGTGTCTGAGATATTTTTGTCCTAAGATATTTTGGCCTGACATATTCCAACATCACTTATCTTATTTACCGAAGAAAGACTACCCGCCCCCGGACGATATGAAATTTTAATAGAGAATATATACTTTTAACAGTGTCCGCCCCCCCCCCCCCCCACCCCGGAAATTTTAGTCCGCCCCCTCGAAAATTTCTAGAGCTCCCCTAGGAGAAAAAAGTCTGGAAGAAACACTGCTTCCATCTCGTAGATTTACACCGAGCAAAGCTCCAAAAGGGCAGGTACTCTGCAGTGCATGACATGCTAGTTATCCCATTGTGTCAGTTGTAATGAGAGCCATATCAAACGTCGTTAGGACCACCCCAGCTTTGAAAGGTTATAGACGTAAGGACATTGATACATATATATTCATACGTTGCTGTATAACTTCTTATTCTAAGTATTACACAACCCAGCTACTTGTATAAGTGATATATAATAAAACGTATATCAACGTATGACACTGTAACATACAAGCACGTGCAAAAAATCTGACAACTTTGACATTTGATTCAGTTTTCATCCTGGCCGGAACCGCATTGGCCGCTATTTTTAGTTGCCCTTTTAAAAGATTAGAAAGTTAAATTAATTTTTTAGCGCAATTTCCATTCTGGAGAATTGCGTTTATTAACCCGTCATTTCTGGATGTATGAATGTATGAATGAATGAATGGATGGATGTGTGTCCGCAGCTTTAAGTCGTATCTCCTCCTCAACGAAGCAATATCGATGACTAGTTCCAAAAGCAATTATGTTAAGCAAGTTACGAGGATGAACATAGGCTATAAAAAGTCCGGGTTTCTTTCATGGTTTTCCCGGAAAAGCCAAAAAACCTCGAAAAAAAGCAATTTTTTGCCCATATCTCGGCAACCAGACCACTTAGCGACTTGAAACATGTACCAATCGATTCCTGCCATAATTTAGAACAATATTGCCAAAGAAAAGTTTTCAAAAATATCCTTTCGTTCGGTCACAAAAAATTTTTTGAATTAATTAAAATTTGGACCGAATTAGTAGGCATTTTTTCCAACCACACCACACGTGTCATCACGTTCAATAGCTGCACCA